CGGGCGCCCAGACCTGCAGGAGGCGTCGCACGCGCGGCGGGTCTCGGGACCGGGCTCTCTGGCCGGCTCGCCTTGCCCTCCGGTGATCATCCGGTTCGGTCCATAACCCTGCCTTTCTCGGCGGAGACGGGCGCATCCGAGAGGAGCCCGCGGTGTCGTGTGCGTGTGGAGTATCTGCAGACATGACTGCGTGGAGGAGACTCAAGTCGCTGCTCCGGCTCCTGGCGCTGCTGACTCTGTGCGCCGGGCTCCACACTGCAGCTAAGGGTAAGGCAGGCTCACTCCGTGCCGGGGCCGCGGCGGCACCCTCGGAGGCCCGGTGTGCGGACGGGAGTGTGGGTTTGGGGGACCGCGGGGCTGGCGTCGCCGGTGGTTCTCCATCGCGGGCGCCCAGGGATGCAGCGCGCCGAGTGCAGCCTCTATCGCGCGCGTCCCAGCCCTCCCGGCTCTCGCCCCACCCTCGCCATTCCTTCCTCCTCTTTCCCCCTCTCTCGGACTCAGAGGAGAGGTCCCTGCTTTCTCGGCAGTGTGGGCTAACAAGGAGAAAGGAGCCGGCGCGAGTTGGGCTGAAACTGCCCTTCTGCCGGCGGCGTCGTCTCCTCCTAGTCTGGGGCTCGACGGGTCGCGGTGGCCAGGGTAGTTCCCAGGACTTTATTCCCCGGACCCGGCGCACCTGGGAAAGTGGCCCGGGAGAGGCCGGTCTTTTAAGTTCGGGCTGTCTATGGGGGCTCCGGTACCACAGGCAGAGCGCCCAGTCTGCCGGTCTCCCCGTACTCCTGCACCCCGTTCCTGGGTTCCCCCTTCCCCCTCCATCCTCGGTGGGGTCGCCCTCCCTCGCGCTCCTCTCCCACAGACTTTGCTCCTTGCAAGTTGTGAGGTGCCGGCAGGGTGCATGGAACGAACCAGGAGTTCTGGAAGGGCTTCCGAGTCAGATCTATGCACTGTGGGCGCAGGGTTCGCCCCTCTCTACCTTTGATCTACCCACTCCCTCGGGGTGGCTCCCGGGGCTCGGAGCTCCGTGAACTTGGTTTTCTCCTTGAAACGAGTTCGGGAATGTTTTCTCCCAACTAGCCCACAGGCTGCGACCTCAAGGCTGGGCGACAGCCTGTGCGCTTGTCTATTCACTGGGAAAGAAAACAAGCTCCCTCTTGAGAGAGAGAGAGGGAGAGAGGAACGAGAACGAGAGAGAGGGAGGGGGGGAGAGAGAGAGAGAGAGAGAGAGAGAGAAGAGAGGAGAGACGGGGGGGGAGAGGAAGAGAGAAGAGAGATGGAAAGAGACAGGAAGAGAGGGAGAGAGAGTGGGAGAGATGAAAAGAGGAAGAGAAGGCAAGAAGGCAAGAGGGAGAGAAGGGCGGGAGAATATTGATTGATTTTCACATTGGAAAGTGCCTGCCCCCGTTTCCTCATGTTTCGCCTCCTTGCCTCCTAGATGCTCACCCTATCAATCAGCACATCCACCGTCAGCATCGTCAGACTCCTAGGAATATCTATTTCCCTTTCTTATTTAAGGGATAGAGCCAAATCCCGTGATTTTTTTATAATGGTTATTGCTTCTTCCCTACACGAAATGCCCCTCTCTTCTCTAGATTCTTCCATCTTCTTTTTCTTCCGTCTCCTATCCCTCCAGTGGTCCAGATTCAAGAGTGATTGACAAGGCGAAGGAGGAGGATATCTGGCCCATTGGGAAACTCCAGCTCGGCCTGGAGAGAGATGGAGAGAGGTGTGCAGGCTGGGCTTACCCCCGCCGCGGCGCTCTTCTCCCCCGGGCGTCCAGGGCTGGCGGGGAGCTGGCCGCCGGGAACCAGCCCCTGCGCTCAGGCAGCACGCTCACAAAGGGGTGTCTGCGGGAATGCGCCCAAGATCCCGGGCGGCGCCAGTGGCAGGCAGGTCGTAGTCGCCGACCTTCGCTTGTAGCCGCCCGGGACTGAGGGGCTTCCTGCAGATGCCGACCCTCTGCCCAGGGCCCGGCTCGGTCCAGACGCCGAGCCCCGGCCGCTGCTGCTGAAACCGCCAGTTGCAGAGGCACCGCCGACCGAGCAAGGCCAGGCTGGCAGCAGCCTCGGGTCGCGCTGGACTAGCTACGAATTGAGAGGCGAAGCAAGAAAGTCCAGGGCAAAGAGGGTCGTGTGTCGTAGCGGGAGAGGGCAAGGGTCCGGGGACAGGACCCACCTTTGCCCAGCCAAGCCCCTGCGTGGGTAGGCAACCCCTGCCACGAAACTCCGCGAAACTTCCCGTCCTTCTCCCTACATGCAAAGCCCATCTGGCCCGGGGGCTTCCTCCTTTCCCGACAAACGAGTCAGCCTCGGAGCACACTCTCTGTTCCCCGAGGCCCGCGCGCTCCGCTCTCCCTTCCCCCGCAATTAGTAGAGGTTGCAGCCTGAAGACGGCGGCGGCCCTGGCTCGGCTGCTTAATAATCCGCACACGTGTGTGCCGGGCGGATTCCGCCCCCACGCGGGTGGGCTGCAGCGCTCGGCGGAGGCGGGGAGCGGGGGCGTGGAGGGGCAGGTCGTGGGCGGGGGCTGATCCTAGGCGAACACCGTAGGAGGCGCAAAGTCCTGGGTGCCCCGGGTCAGAGGGGCAGCCCCAGGAAGGGTAACGCACACGCGCCGCCGGCTCGACGATCCCGGCGTACAGACGGGAAGTGGCACCCGGGGTCCAGGGCTCCG